GAGTATGTAAAAGCCTTCTAAGTTTTATACCATTTATTTGATAAGCGCCGCGGCCCGTGATCGTAGTCGTTAAGCAACTTTCGCAAGGGTCGGTCACGGGATGGGTGACCAAAAAATTATTATCTCGAGCTACTCCGTGCTTCGGAAGGCACGTTAAGCCGTTGGTTCCGGCTGCATTTGCAGTCGTTAATACCCTCCAATCCGCATTGGGCCAGCTTGGAGGGGCATGGCCCATCCTCCTTAACCATCCATAAGGAAGGTCTGAGCCCCTGCAGTGGGGACGTAAAAGGGCTGGTGATGATGACCCTACCAATAGGTATGTACATATTTGATCTTCTTGCAGTCATGGCAGTCCCGTAATGTTCACCCCGTGAGCTATGAGCATCTTTCGATATGATCAATACCCTTCTAGTGATTTGATTTTACTACGCCTACCAACATGGTTACACTCAATCTTCGACCAAAACTTTGGTTGACTAATTGATGCCAAAAAATGAAATCCTTTGAATAGTAATTAAAGGTTCCACTGAATCAACACAACAAAACCCTCAATTTCTCAACATTCGAATTTCACGTCGAATACAAACGCCTGACATTATGACAACGGCAAACATGCACTTATCCGTAATTCCTATGAAAGCACTCAAGGCTGTTTGTAAAGTAGTTGAATTTCATGTGCTCTTTTAAATTGCGACGTGAAAGTACCTATATTTTAAAACTATATCTGTTGTTATTCAAACTTGAACTAAAGTTACGAAGATAAGTGATCAAATTCGTATATTACGTACAGACAGTGAGATTAAATGTAACAAGTCAACAGTTAAATTTAGATAAGTAGATAAATAAATGTCATTTAAAAAAGCTTACGTACCCAGAAATTTATTAATATTAAAATAGTTAATGGTGGGGGCAAAGTTTTAGTGCCTTGCATAGGGCGCCAAGTTTCAATGTTTCGCCTAGAACGCCAAGTTTGAGTGCTTTGTCTAGGTCGGCGGCCTGAGCACCTTATTTTGCCTTACCGCCATATTTCAGTGTTTTGCCTAGACCGCCAAGTTTCATTAAAATAATGTAACAATTATTCAAAAGTATTTAAATTGTGGGTACATATTCATTTCAAATAAATTTGTTTTAATGGTAACACAAACGTTGCAACGAGTCATAAATCGTGAGAGCACCACAGCCGCGGAAGTGAGTCCCGTCTACTGCACGCCCTCATCATAATTCCACAGAATTATAATGCAGTTTCGGCACCCACAGACTGATCAAAACGGTTAGGTAGTTATATAGGAATAGTATTACGATGTATGTATAGTGTATACAGAAATACATTTATATTTATTACAAGTATTTGAGAGTTATGCACTACACTACGACATGTCGGCAGAGCATCCATCATATGTCTTTACAACTTGATACATACGACATGAGTCCTCCTTTATTTTGAGCTAACTTCACTGTCAACTTGCACATTGCGGCTCTTTAACCTCCAACCTCTAATGATTCACAATCGATGAAAACGGGTTCTGAAATGACATGTGTAGCAAAACGTAGATGTGTGAGATATTTAATATTAATATTAACGCCTTATTTAATGGTTTTACATATTTTATGCTCACTTTCATATCGGAACTTACTGATAAGTTTTTAGCACCAAATCCCCTTGTTGGGTCAAAATTATGTTCTTAAAGTCATCACATTTTCATTGTTCGATATGTAACAATAAAAAACACTTATAAATATACATTTGTGTTGATACGCACTAGTTTTTTTTATTGAATTAATGAATGATTTATTTATTTTTCCAAAATGTTACATATGAGTAAATACTTAATGTTAGTAAATACTTGACTTAAGTATACCTATAACACATTATTTAGATTTATATATCATTTGGCATTGCAAAACCGCTCCCCGAACTGGGATAACCAGTTTCTCGGGCAACGACTTCCCCTAACACTATTCATGTTGCTATTTAAAAAGTTGCACAACAATCATAATAATGTTGTTATAGAGCCAACCTTAACATACTTACACGAAATTATTCATCACCATATCACTGTTGTCTTTGATGTTGGTGTCACGTCTTACGTTATGTTTTTGGTCGCTAATTAAAGCTTTTTGGAGCATCACGTGGTCGGAGCATCTCAAAATATCTACCGAAATTCATTCGTGCCTGTGATTATCTAGCAACGACCACGGAAAGCAGTAAAAGATAGTGACTTCATTATAAGATCGACCGAATATTATATTTAACGGTTAACGGTTGTAAATCAACTCAGTGACAAATATATTTCAATGAATCAGAACGATAGACGCATTTTTTGACCTTGTGGAATTGGTTTCTATGGACCGATATATCTTTTGGGTGTAAAGATATTCTTTACACTAAGACAACACTGCAAAATGGTTTTATTCAAATTTACCTTTAACACTTTGATGACAGAGGTTACCGTATGGACAAGAGGTATATTATCCATAATCTGTCTCTTGCAAATGATGGATATAGGATTGGAACCAAAAAATACTTTCTGGAGTTTTTGTTAGCACGATAAGCCGTTAATATCTCAATTTTTTCAGTTTTTCAGTCTTTATCACTTGCTAAACCGCACTGGGCTCACATATCCCGTACTCAATATTTGGATTTTTGGCAGCGGGGATATTAATAGCGTTACAATTGATAATCTTTTGGTTATCTGCTCTTCAATTCAATCGATATTTCGCAAAACAAAATAGCCAATCCGCTTTCAGCATCTCTGTCAACATTCCTAGTTCGAATCAAAGAGCATGATCACTAGTTGTTTACCACCTAATATTACGTTTGATCGATCGCCAAACCAAACTATACATTATCCGCATTGAGTGAGTAAATTATAGAAACATTACAATGACAGCGGTATTGGCGTGCCTAGCTTTGCCATTCTTGCTAGGCGTCCGGATAAAGTTGGGCATAAGACAGGCTTTTTAATGGCGTGTGATTAGACAGATTTATAAGTCTTTTATTTGCTTTTTAAATTATCATAGTTCATTCGAATATTGTTAAGTTACTAGCAAATACTTCTTTTTAAAGGTCTTTATTTACAAATAGTTGATAAATTATAATTTAAAAAAGATTTTTATTGTAAACAATTAAAAGTGTTATAGGTATTTTACCAAATATCTATGATAGTTGGTCTGACCGGCTTTTCGAAGCTGGTAGCGACAAACGCAATCGAGTGCAGCGCTGAGGCTGACGGCGGAAGACAGTAAAAGCGAACTAAAATAAATGCCAATGACCGAGGCTTTTTGTCAAATTTACGTTCATAGTATGTTCACAGCTGACAAAACTATCAATATCTGACACACTATACGCTGTACTGTAGAATAATAATAGAATTTAAGAAAATTGATAAAGGACATCTCCAAGCTTTGGTTTTGTTTTCTTTTCTGTATGAAATAAAATGGGCTCTTTTTTCGTTCCGATATTTTATTGTAATGCAAGGTTTATTAATAAATGCATGCTTAATAAATCAACAGAATATGTGTAACTCAGAGAAATTATAAAATTCAGTAGTGCTATTACAGAATTTAAAAATAAAAATAAAGGAACAGATGCAACTTTCTGTTCAATCAAATTAGGCCCAGTGCAAAAGGTAATAAATATTTTATTTGGTTGAACCCCTAACGCTGCGACACCGTTGTGTTCGACGCTGCATTTTTCCAGAATAGTTGGTATCGTGATCAACCTCGTGTCATTCACATTTCGAAGAAGTTTAATTTAAACCAATCCTCCGCGTGAACGTCGCGTAAAATTTAACCACGTTATATTTATACTGACGGGAACATATAAATGAAACTGCCTAATTCTACGTTATTTACGCCCATTTGATGTTGTTCAGTTAATACAGTCTATTTCAGTGCGCGGGCGCGTGCCGTTCCACTTCAATAAACAAACGCTCGCATATTATAGCTCGCGGCTCTATGTTCATCTATTCAACTGATGTGAGGCAAAAGAACAATTTAGTGTTGCCTACTTAATAAATTAACTTTGATAAAAACTCTTTTGTTTTTTAAACTGAAACTGGCTTCATTAAAAAATCTGAAAACTATTCTTAAAAATCAAAATGGCCTTTATCAAATTTTTTAATTATATTTTAGCGGTTCGCTCGCTTTTTTAGTTATTGCGTCGTTATTTTTTGAAAAGTAGGTATCTTTCGAATTTTCTTTTAGGTCGGTGTTAGTTCAATGAAAATCAAGACAATTTTTAGTAATAAACGGGTTTTGGCCTTACTAATTTTTCAAACATACATCAAACTATATAAAACTGTCAAATTTGTCTACTTGATTTGAAATCTTAATACATTGAGGTATTGTATTAACCTGAAGTGCAATCGTTTGTAGCCACAGATTGATAACCTAAGCTTATGAGTGCCATCATCACTAAACTACATCTTCCATATAGTCTTCGCTCTTTTTGTGATCTGAAGTTTCCAGTTATCTTTATATTAAACAATAAATTCTAATCAAATCTCGCTTCAGTTTAAATGAGATGACATTACTTGTACCAGGTATCGAATATAAGGCTCATGAGAATTGGTACAACAAATTAAAATTAATGAGGTAACACGATCAAAGTACGAAAAACAACATCAATAATTATAATAAAAATCAACAATGATGATGATGATGTGTCGGGTATTAAGTTGGTAATGCCAAGTTTCAAAGTGCCTTTCATAAGCCAAAGCTTTCTTAAAAGGTTTCCCGGTATTACCATATAGGTATAAAATGTTAATTTCGTTCCTTTATTGTTTTAATTTTCTATAACATAAGTGCTTTAGTTCATTAGGTGAAAAGTATACGCTGTTGCCTGTAATTTTTATTAATGAAATTATTTCTACTTCATACTCATAGAATATTTCAAACGCTGCTAAAATAGTTGGCAAGGTCAATGTCGAGGGTGTCTAATTTTGTAATTTTCCATTTCGTATACATATTTGTAACGCGCGTGTTGCTGGCACCGACCCTACTGTTTTAACAGTAGATTCGCTGTCTTCAAATTAATGACTCTATTATCTGTTTCATTCCTAATTTTTACTGTTTTTCAATTAGCGTTCAGTGCCACCTATTACATTATGCAAATATAATCCGAAATAACTGATTGCTACTCATATGTATTCACAAAAAGGCACCTGAAGAAATTCAACAAAACTTACATTATTTAAAAAGGAAAATTTGAAAATACAGAAGATGAAACAATTGAGCGTGTAAGTTGAAAATAATAGTTTTTTTATTGTGTTTTCTTTTCTATTCATAATAAAACAATGTATGTAAGTCCTGAGAACTAATAAAAGTATGTGATTGTATTAATTATATGAATAAGAAATATGCCCCTTTTTAGTAAATAGGCTATTTTTTCCTGTTTTTTTATAGGTGAATTGACGTTTTCTTGTTTCTTGAGGTTTACAACACTGGTTGCTGGCAACTCTGCCAATGGGCTAACACAGCCGCCATGAAGACGCGTGCCGCACATTAGTATCCCACGCTAATTATACCACGTTGTAACTCGAAGAAAAACAAAATCTATACGTCATCAAACTTACAATTTATTTCCTCTGAAACTATAATTAACTGCTTTACAATATTTACAAATGTTGCAAAATATACAGAGAACAGATTAACATTAAAACATGAGATTGAGTCTGTACAAATAAGATTCTTATGAATTAACATTATAAATTATCGGCGTTATCTAATAACAAATTATTGTATTGGGAAATAAATCACATTTTAAACAAAAATTGTTATCTATCTACTTGAAAAGGTAACAGTTATAATTTAATAACGATTGTTATGATAAAATTATATCATTTTAGCTATTATTTAAGTTTTTTCACGTTAATTAAAAAAGTTTGAATGAGTTTGAACTTGAAAATAACTAAACTAGCACCTGTTCGAATTTCATAACATTTTAAAGACTCAATTTGTGATTCATTTCGCCATTACATAATGAAGTCATTTTCATGTAACGTAACTCTAAACTAAAATATACATCAACGCAAATGCCAGGCACGTCACTGACAATGACGCCGATATATGGTAAGATGCGCGCGCGCCGCTGTCGACGGACTGGTCGCGCTGCATCGCCTCCATCTGACTATCTAAGGGCAAACAAACATAATACGTTACCAATGTGATTATTATATCATTATCATCATCATATCAACTGAGAGACGCCCACTGCTGGGCATAGGCCATATATATACCGCATATTTATTAAATTCGTATTGATTATGCAGCAACATAACGACTCACTGTAAAATATTTACGAGAATTGAGAAAGTTCACTGAATCTATCCTGAAGGTCTGAACAATTTTTTTTTCAAATACTTATCTATATATTTTGTATATCGATACGCTCAGGTTTAAATAAATTTACTGTTTGCACAAATACATTTAATTAAATGACATATTATGTAGATTCAACAAGATGTATAAAGAAGTAGCCTATTTTTTAGGTATAATAAAGTTTGATAGCCAAAAGGAACCTGATGGATATGGGACGATTGCATTACGAGCTGCAAGACATAAATAATTTATTTACCAGATATTTTTAAAGATGCTATTCTGTGCTATTTGCAATAAAGTTTATCCTGTAACTGAAGTATTATTTATCGGTGTAGAATTATATCATATACTATAGCCCATTTTCCTATTCGATTCAATTCCATCTGTAGAGAAGTCTTGTGCCCCAGCAATCGGGATATTGGATAATGATAGAAAATTAACAGTACTCTACTTATTTCTTCTCCTTTTTATTTACTAAAAAATTATCATCATCAATCAGCCCTTTTACGTCCCCGTTGCAGGGCCTCAGGCCTTCCTTATGGATGGTTAAGGAGGATGGGCATTGACCCTCCACGCTGGGCCATTGCGGATTGGAGGATATTAACGACTGCAAATACAGCCGGGACCAACGGCTTAACGTGCCTTCCGAAACACGAAGTAGCTCGAGATAGCTTTTTTTTTTGGTCACCCATCCCGTGACCGAGCCTTGCGAAAGTTGCTTAATAACAACGATCGCAGGCTGCGGCAGGCTTATCTTCTACGCCACCGAGATACTTAAAAAAATCACTTGCTTTAATATTTAGGGATAAGATGGAAATGTGTTATGAGACAAAAGAAATAAGAGAAGTACGGGCTATATTTTGACAAACTTCAAATCTATGATGACTTGCTAATAGTTACGGAACAAATTATAATTGGGTAAAAACAGTGAACTAATTATCTAATTTGAAAATCTATCGCAAACCCTTTCAAAGTTATAACGATCCTGATAGCGATTTATGGAGTTATATAACGTCTAATATCGCAATCGATTTTGGAACGAATGATCAAGAAACAAACATAATAAAAGTGTAATAACTTAAACTTAAAGTAGCTTAAATACCGATTACCGTCAACTTAACAATATCGTGAGTTGTAGCGTAAACTTCGTAAATACCTTTCAAATGTCAAATTACAATTGTGATAGATTCTAAAATTAGAGAATTAGACCCCTAATGCTGATTAAATTGTGTTACCAGAGTCGACGTGAAGGTGTATATAGTCGAGTGCGGTGGCAGCGGCCGGGTCTTGGCCGGAGGTGGCAGTAGTGACGGTGTCGGGCAGCGCGCACTCATACACGCCCGCGTCGGAGTGCACCAGCTCAGCGAGCGTCAGGCGCGACACCGCACGCGACACCCACCGCTCCGTGTCACGTGACACACCGCCACGACTCAACTACACACGACACACGAAATGTATTCTTACACCCGTATCTATAGTCGAGTAAAAGTAATTGCTTGAATTATGATTCATTTCATTTCATTAAAGTTTAATACATTACCTTTTTGGTAATTACTCAAACAAATATTTTTAACGAATAAACAATAATTATTAAGAACTGTTAATAGTAAGGATACTAATATTATTAGCTATTAACGGTTAGAAAATCGTCAATATCTTGAAAACTACTTAACTTATTTTTATGAAATAAAAACTAAATTAAAGATTATTTAATTGTAATTTATTGAATATAAAAAAATACAAATTAAAAGTTGTCTATTTTCAATAAACGTCAAACGAATGAAAAAGGTAGTTTTTCTGACATTTTCGTAAATATGAATTGTATAAAGATGTGACGTTTTTACGCATGTTAGTATTTCGTGTTGCCTCCACGAGCTTGCAAAACTGCGGCAATGCGATTCGGCATACCTTCCACAAGGTTTTTAAGGCGATGCTGCGGAATGTTCTGCCATTCCTCGATCAAAGCTCCTTTCAATTCACGCAGCGTGATTGGCGGTGGATTCCGTTTACGTACACGTCGTCCCAGTTCGTCCCATGCATGTTCGATGGGGTTTAAGTCGGGGCTTCGTGCTGGCCACTCCATGCATGTGATACCTACTTCGTGAAAATAGTCGAACACTATCTGAGCTGTATGCGGGCGGGCGTTGTCTTGCATAAAAACAGCATTTTCGCCCATATCTACTAAAAATGGACCAACATAGTCATTAAGAATTTCATTCACATATCGTTCTGCTGTTAAACTGCCATTTTCTATCACTACTAGCTCAGTACGGCTTTCGGAAGAAATCCCAGCCCACACGTGTATAGAGCCACCGCCATATGGTACTTTTTCTTCTATACAAGCTTGGTTATAGCGCTCTCCCGGTCTTCGGTACACTCTTTTCCTCCCATCGTGCTTGTATAAACAGAATCTAGACTCGTCTGAAAACATAACTCTTGACCAGTCATCCAGAGTCCAAGTTTCGTGTTCTCTGCTATAACTCAGCCTTGAGTTTAAGTGGTGTCTTTCTAATTTTGGGCCATTTGCAGGCCTTAATGGTCTCAAATTTGCTTCAGCCAGACGTCGCCTTACTGTATCTGTACTCAGATAGTTTCCTCCAGCTCGTAAATGGTGATTTTTTACCTCAACGGCCGTAAGAAATCGATTTCTCAAAATTGTTGACACCATATAGCGATCCTCCCGCGCAGTCGTGCACCTCGTTCGGTCTGTTCCTGGTCTTCTTAGGTTGGATCCAGTTTCATGGAAACGCTGGAGTACCCGCTGAACTGTGGAAAGACTCACACCAACAGTTCTCGCTGTATTGCGCTGACTGCGCCCATCTTCAAGCATTGTCAGGATCCTGGTGCATTCTTCAGGGGTTAACGACATGATGACTTCAGAATACAATTTTTGTATGACAAACACACGATATTTATTGTAGTTTTTATGTCAAAACTAAAACAAATGCGAAACAAATGCTTTGATTTTTTTAGAACTAAATTGAAAAACAACCATTATCTTCATTGCCAGTTTTCTTACACAATTATCTAAAGTAAATAAAAAGGTTTTATATACTATGTTAAATAACGTTAAATATTCTTTAATTGAGTTTTTATTTCATAAAGCTAAGTGAGGTAGTTTTCAAGTTATTGAAGATTTTCTAACCGACCCGTTATCTTTGCGGTCCAGTGTAGTTATTGAAACATGCCGTGGGGTGCCGGCCTAAGAGTAGCACCCCCCCATATCCTCCCGTGGGTGTCGTAGGAGCCGACAGAGGGATTATACGGAAGGCGGGCAGCAGCGCCTCCCGGTATCATCTACCACCACCTACTGCGATCCCCAAGTCGCCTGCCAAGCGTGGGGATTATGGCAACCCCCCCCCCCCTCATGATGGACGACAATGATGTACGGCCCCCAGTCCCCGGCAGCCCCTCTATTCCTGTCTCTGGTAGCGGGACAGGTAACGGAGGGGCAGGGGGTGCTAAGAATCTCCGGCAGATTAGGCGCTACCAACACAAACGGACTCTGGCCCTGGCAACATACAATGTCCGCACACTGAGGACTGACGTGAAGCTATTAGAGCTGGAGGAAGAATTGAGCAAGTTGCGATGGGACATAGTGGGATTATCCGAAATCCGAAGAGAGGGCCAGGATACGGTAATCCTTGAGTCCGGTAACATGCTCTTCTTCCGGGAAGGAGATCAAAAATCTCAAGGTGGTGTTGGGTTTCTCGTTCACAAGTCCCTCGTGAACAACGTGGTGAAGATCGATAGTGTGTCGAGCAGAGTGGCGTACCTTATACTCAGAATTACCGAAAGGTATTCGCTGAAGGTCATACAGGTTTACGCCCCGACCTCTTCACACTCCGACGATGAGGTAGAGGCTATGTATGAGGAGATTTCTGAAGCCATACATACGACTAATACCTACTTCACCGTTGTAATGGGGGACTTTAACGCGAAGCTGGGCGCTTCGAATGGCGATGAGTTGAGGGTGGGTCGATTTGGGTATGGGCGGCGCAACCACCGGGGCCAGAAGCTGGTCGATTTCATGGAGAAGGAGGGACTCTTTGCGATGAACTCCTTCTTCCAGAAGAGACCCTCCAGGAAGTGGACCTGGATGAGCCCTGATGGTTCGACAAAAAATGAGATCGACTTCATCATGACAACCAGAAAGCACATATTCAATGATGTCTCCGTGATCAGCAGGGTGAAAACCGGTAGCGATCACCGAATCGTTAGAGGCACATTGAATATCAATGTTAAGCTCGAAAGGTCACGTCTGATGAAGTCTACGCTCCGTCCAAGTGCTGCTCATATCATGGACCCCGAAGCCTTCCAACTCCAACTACACAATCGCTTTCAGTGTCTAGCTGAATGCGAGTCTGTGGACGAAATAAACAACGGGTTTGTAGAAACAGTCCAAGCTGTGGGGTCTAAGTTCTATAAGGCCCCGCGCCGTATTAAATCTCAAAAGCTCTCAGACGAAACGCTCAAGTTGATGGCGGACCGGAGGGATATGAGACTGCAATCTTCAACCGATATGTCGGAATATGGTCGACTTAACAGACGAATTTCCAAATCGATGCGACGCGATCTGCGCTCCTATAATACTACACGTATTAGGGAGGCAATAGAGCGGAACCAAGGCTCCAAAGTGTTTGCACGAAATTTGTCTGCTGGGTCGAGTCAGATGACGAAGCTGAAGATCGACGACGGCAGGATCGTATCTTCAAAACCGGAGATTCTGATTGAGCTTGAGAGGTTTTATGGACAGTTGTACACATCATCACAACAACCCGTTGAAAGCAATGCTCAGGACACCAGAGCAAAGCTGACCCGACATCACACCGAGGATATCCCAGACATCAGCCTGTACGAGATTAGAATGGCACTCAAACAGCTGAAGAACAACAAGGCACCGGGGGATGACGGAATCACTACTGAACTTTTGCGAGCGGGTGGAAAACCGGTACTCTTAGTCCTCCAGAAATTGTTCAATTCCGTCATTCTCGAGGGTACGACGCCAGAAGCGTGGCACAGAAGCGTGGTTGTGCTCTTCTTCAAAAAAGGTGACAAGACCTTGTTGAAGAATTATAGACCAATCTCGCTTCTGAGCCACGTTTATAAGCTGTTTTCGAGGGTCATTACGAATCGTCTCGAACGCCGGTTTGATGACTTCCAGCCTCCCGAACAAGCCGGTTTCCGAAAAGGCTTTAGCACCATAGACCACATACATACGCTGCGGCAGATTATACAGAAGACCGAGGAGTATAATTTGCCACTTTGCTTAGCGTTTGTGGACTATGAGAAAGCCTTCGATTCAATCGAAACCTGGGCAGTACTGCAGTCCCTCCAACGATGCCAAATCGACTACAGGTACGTCGAAGTGTTGAAGCGTTTGTATAGCAACGCCACAATGTCGATTCGCTACCAGGAAGAGAGCACGAAACCAATCCAATTGCGCAGAGGCGTGAGACAGGGAGATGTCATTTCTCCGAAACTGTTCACGAATGCATTGGAGGACGTCTTCAAGCTCTTGGAATGGGACGAATACGGCATCAACATCAATGGCGAATACATCACTCACCTTCGTTTCGCCGATGATATAGTCATCTTGGCAAGATCGATGGAGCACATCAGTACAATGCTCAGCGACCTGAGTATCGTTTCCAATCAGGTGGGTCTTAAAATGAACATGAACAAGACGAAAATCATGTCGAATGTCCATGTTGCACCCGTACCGGTGGTCATTGGAACTGATACTCTCGAAGTTGTCGATCACTACGTGTACCTTGGACAGACAATCCAGTTAGGTAGATCCAATTTCGACAAAGAGGTCGCTCGAAGAATCCAACTCGGCTGGGCAGCGTTCGGGAAGCTACGCGATATCTTCACGTCCAAATTACCACAGTGCCTAAAGACGAAGGTGTATAACCAGTGTGTGTTGCCAGTGATGACCTATGGCACTGAAACGTGGTCCTTAACTGCTGGCCTCTTAGAGAAGCTCAGAGTCGCTCAGCGAGGCATGGAGAGAGCTATGTTAGGGGTTTCTTTGCGCGATAGGATCCGAAACGTGGATATTCGCCAAAGAACTAGAGTGACCGACATAGCTCGCAAAGTTTGTAAGCTGAAGTGGCAGTGGGCAGGCCACATCGCTCGACGAACCGATAACCGATGGGGACGAAAGGTTCTCGAGTGGAGACCACGAACCGGAAGACGCAGCGTGGGTCGACCCCCGACTAGATGGACGGACGACATCGTCCGAGTCGCGGGCGGCCGCTGGATGCAGCTGGCGCAATGTCGTCCGTCGTGGAGTTCAAAGGGGGAGGCCTATGTTCAGCAGTGGACGTCTTCCGGCTGATGATGATGATGATGATGATGAAACCAATATATCTGCTTAAATTATGCAATTTTCTCACACGATTACTTTTCTCGACTAGAGATACGAATGTTATGCACAAATATGCCGTTTGTGCATTGCAATTCCCTGCCTGAATGGGAGAAAGCTTTATATTTCCTTAATTAAATAAAGTAACTGGTTTGTCGTAATCATTAAACATGTGGGCATCTATATCAGAGTCCAGAGAGTAATTAGATGGACTAAGCAGACATTTAGTGGATGGCCACTTTACCACAAATAAATATAGTGTTATTGCTTGATCCATGAATTATATTTCGTTAACATTACGTTTTAGTTAACCTGATAGTTAGAAAATTATAGCGATTAATTTTAAATATTATAACTTTTTCATAATTAGAAAAAAGCAAAATGAAGTTTGTGTAAAATAAGTAATTTAAATATATTTAAGTAAAATTTTAACTTCAGCAGGCCTAAGTATTTTTATCAGAAATTTAATTAAAACAATCTAATACATTTCAATCACTTTCAGAGGTATGTTCAATAAAAAACTCACTAAGTTATATCACAGAACGAATTAATAATCATTAATAGAGCTATGTTACAAAACTAAAACGTAGGCTTGCCACATTTAAGAAAAGCATATTGACCCGTAAAATTAGTTGCTTACGATGTAAATCCTACGTTTTGAATGATTTTATAGCAATTATTGTAGTTATTATAAATGTTACCTGTAAGTCGACGGGCACGCCGTCCTTCCGCCACACGATATCTAGGGGTGGCAGCGGTAGCGCCCGCGGTGGCGGCTCGTATCGCGCCTCACACAGAAGCGTAACCGCGCCGCCCACCGCGCCGTGCACGTCACGCGCACTTGCTGCTATCACACCCACCGGTACGGGCTCATCTATTTCAATTTTAATCTTTATTGTTTAAAAAGATTTTGTATATCTAGTTTACGTATCATTTACAAGACTTTAATTTACTGGATTAGCAAGTATGGTCTGGAGTGATCAGATAACTAATTTATTAAACTTCAAATTTTCAGTTGGATCGACGAGCCACGTTATCCGCAGGACAGACAACCAGATACTTGAATGGGAGTGGCTGCCGATAATAGGTAAGAGAAATCTCAGCCGACAACGAGCTGGATGGGCAGACGATATCTCCAAAGTGGCGGGGAAGAACTGGCAAAGAAAAGTGCAACGCCGTAGTAAATGGGGCAGACTGGAGCAGACCTACATATTCTCAGAAGTGGGTGGATGTGGCTTGAAGAAGAAGTAGAAAAATTCACAACTAGTTTAAATCGCTTATCAAAAACGACCTTCAAACATTTAGTACCAACCAACCACAAAAATTTTCAGAGAAAGTTGAAACGCAAATAATGCTATTTATATTTTCGTTTGTTTTAGGAAGGTAATGTGACTGAGAAGAACATACAAATAATACCAGCGTAAAATAGGTACTTAACTTAAAAACTCTATGTGTTACCATTGCAATAAGTAGATACCAAAAAAAAAATTTGAAACTGTTGTACCGACTCACCGACAACAGTAAGATTATAGAAGAGGCTCATTTTGGGATCGGTGTTAAGCTGGCACTCGTAGCGACCAGCGTCAGATACCCGCAGTCGACGGATACGCAGGGAGTGTTTAGTCGCACCCGCCCCCGCTCCCGCTCCCGCTGCTGTCACGCGCACAGACACGCGAGTATCTGCTGTGAAGACCGCACCCGCGTGCGACAAGATATGAAGATCACGCGACCGCACCCAAGACACCTAGCAACAATAAATTAACATATTCTCATACAATGCATTGAAGCCATCATTAAAACGAATTAATTATGATGTACAATAAAGTATTTTAATTCATTCACATTAAAAGGGATAAAATTTACATCATAACATACAAGAAATGCCTAGATATCAAATATCTCAATCTACTCTTCAAACGGCTAAAAAGGTCATTCCAATCATTGCAGTTATAAAAGCGTTTGGAATTGCCCATTGAGGAATGATTATTATTTTTACATTCCTTTTGAAACTAAAAGTTATTGACCAATTGGTTCCATAGGTTATTAAGTCATTAATTTGAAGTCCATCAGAGACGTGAGGTATACCACGTTGGGCACCATCAAAACGCGGCCCATCATATGGAATATGCTGGGCGTAAAACAAAATATACCTAAGATTAAAGTTAAAAGGACGCTTCTACCAAAAAGTAATAACTTTTTCAAATTTCAACCGGTTTGTACGGTCAAAAGCACGTCGGGTTATATAAATCTGCCAAGTCTCTCTACTTGAACTAGAGAAATTTGACATATTGTGGTTACCAAAAACGTGTAGCCGTATGTACAAAGAATTAACGTCTTAATAAACTATAATTCAAAATGAGATAACTACATCATTATTCTAAGGGTTCCGTAACAACGTGAAAAAACGTTAAGCTCAAACGTAACAGATTACTTTAATATTAATAACTAAAAAAAATAAAAACTATGTTGTTGTAATGTTAGCCACACAATGTGGCCAAGTAAGATACACGTTTTATTGACACCATAAAATATTTTAACTCAAATAATTTATGTACTACCGCCAAATATCGATTAATACCACAAATACCACATGGTAAGAAATATCATAGATTCTACGTTCATTTTACAAACATACATTAATATTGTAAACAACATAAAAAGACTGATCTTCCATTATCTCATTGTATACTGTTCACTTTCAAATCAGACTGATTGTTTCGATTAAACACTTTAGGTATCAAGATTTAAATGTGTGCAATAATAGTGAATTACTGATGGCATTTTACTCGCCGGCACTTTTTCCTGTCGTACTGAAAATTTACGACGTCTAAACTTTGTCGTACCAAAAATATGTACGTAAAAATTAAATCAAAAAAGATAAGAAAATTACATTATTCGAACCACCCACGCACGTTTTTAGTTAAAGTAAAGATATTATTTACCAAAGGGCAAAATATCGCAAACGTATAGGATTTGGCAATCCCAACTTCCGGGGACGTGCGCGTGCGACGGACGCGTGCCGCGGTGGGTGTTGCTAATTCTAGCCGCGAGTCAGTGACCGAGCGTGATATCGCTGTCAGCTACGCGTGCTCTCTCTCCTCTAGTATATCAGGCCCGCGTACTCCACCAACACGTCTTAGCACATCTCTAGCATTCCAAAAGTTGTTCGATTTAACTGAAGTGGAATTCCAAAAGTCCATTTCAACAAAACCGAAACACAAAAAGTGTGTACACCAACAATTTTTTTTGAGGTCGGCGCCTGCCGTCTCTTTAGTAAGATAGTAAAACAGCAAACTATTGCTTAATATGATACTTTTTTTTTAAATATCAAACATCAACTTAAAAAAAATTGTTGGTGTACACACTATTTGTGTTTCAATTTCCTTGCGGATAAAAATTAATGATATTATTTCTTTCTTTTCAGTCGTTTCTCTTTATTTTTTTTTTAAATCGGTTCATTTTTTTAATAATAGAAAATATCACCCATCCCTTTTACTCACTTTTAACTTATGACAAATGGCCACCTTCGTCATACATACTTACATAAATATACTTATATTTACCGGATAAACATTTTCTGTGATTGTAGCTATTTTAACCTAACCATTCTTGAAGCAATTCGTTTTTATTGGGGTCGCAATTCTAACCTAACCTAACCTAACCTCCTGTTCTGGTGACAGCCCTACGATTCTGTAAAAATCCAAATCCGAATTCGAATTCACACCGATGTCCAAATTCTGATGCCACTTTTTGAAGTGGCATCCGCTCAACCTTGAATTGATAAACGTTATGTGGCATAAGTGTAGTGAGTTTTGAAATGACATAGGAATAGAATATCTGAGACACATATATTTAATCAAATTTGTTTTGTATTTTTATACAAAAAAGGAATCAATAGAATTTCTACATTAAATGACGTGAATTCGAACACATGAGTGAATTAATTATTAATTTTCTTTTATGTTGTCCCTAAGTTAAAAGAGTTAATCAAACAAAAAAGTATCATTTCAATCCAATGTCTAATTTACGAGAAATATGTTGTCAAACATAATATTATGCAAATGTAACAAACTTGTTTAGAAGTACGTATAGACTAAATATATATGAATATTGCGCCATATTCCAACTAAATTACATATATACCGCGTGTTACAAAAAAACCCGTTACCCCGAAAATGGCATTGAGTATACATGAAACTGAGATAATGGACGCTGTCCTTTATATCGTAGCCATTGTATTTATTGAAAAAAGCAATATCGAAGTTTAGCAAAATTTTCGATACCATTTATCGAAGCACACCGACATTATGATCAGCTGTTTCAGTTCATTGACTTCTAAATCAAAGACTATTATTTTGCCAGACTGGTTATATCTACTGGTATTTAGTGCCTACGACACAGTACAGCGAAATAATTTATCTAGTTATGTGTACATACGCAAATATTCGAACATGCAAAATATTACACGAAAACATCATTTTAAAACTATTTCCAAAATTCGTTTTTATTCAGATTAGAGCTCCCTTTCCAATATACCTTGCCATATTACTATGCCCGTGCTACGCACATATCAGGCACGGAAACAAACAATAAACAGTACGCTATAGTCACTGCACTGGATTAAATACTTTCGCCTGAAATGCTCGTACAATATCTCTTTACGAACTGTAGACGGCCCATCCAAAATAATAATCTTTATAATTAATGCTACGACACGTCACTCAATAATGTACTCATAAAATCAATTTCATCTAATCTAAACAAATAGAGAAGCAGAGGAAGAAGAAATATCGCGACCTCTAGATAAGTAGAATATTCGTTATTGCACGAACAATTTTTTTTCATAATTAGGTAGTTTCATTTTTATGAAAATAATTACAATATTATGAAAGTAGGCGACGTATATCACTGAGTGTCTTCCAGGTAACTTTGTCTATCTGTAGCTGCTTCATCTTTGAACCAGAATTTTTACACATCGTGTCTTTAAATCATGATAACCTGGTACTCGTACCTACAATCTTCTGTTACGAAAGTAAACCTAATATGACGTCAGCGCAGATACAGTCGGGGAATAAATTGAAACATTGATCAATATTCGTGTACATATTTCAATTGTGTTTATGGTCAATTTATTTCTTTTCTAATATTTTTACAATAAAAAGATCAGACTTAAAATGGAATATGAACCTTAATCGGGAATATGATCATTCCCGATTATGGTTTCAACCACTTACTCTTACTACATGTAAATTGTTTCAAGTAAAATGGATTGCTACCTTAGAGTTAATGATATGCACTACACTTAGGTATCTTAAAAGCGTCTGACAAGAAAAAATGTCGACAAAGAGCCGCTTTCTGAACTGAGAAAAGTACAAAATCTCAACTGAATATTCTCAATAACTGAAGTTTTTTTATATTTCACTAGTCAAAAGTCCTAGTTTTATCAAACTGCTAACAACTAATTATAAAAAAAAAACCGGCCACGTGAGAGTTGGACTCACTCAGAAAGGGTTGTATCCGGTGCTAAGAAATAACTTCATTAGCTTAACTCTTAAAAATATTTTTTATTGTTTAGGTATTTAAATACGTAAGACAAATCAATACATAATCGGTAAAATCGAGCCTAAAACAAATTCACTTATTCCCCCGAGTGTACAATGACGTAAAATAGAGATAGAGAGGGAGGGAAAGAGAGAGAGAGAAAGAAACGAAACATTATCGTTCGTGTTTGTGTGATGTCGCGCGCGAGTGACTACTTGACGCTAGATACGGTAGTAGTAAACATTTGGTACGGATTTTAATTTATTATCTATTTTATTACTGTGGGCTATTCAACTGAATTTTAGAATCAGAGTATAGGATTCACTATTTTAATGCTGTAAGAAATGAAAATGAATGAGACGTTTTATTATGTACTGTTTACCTATTTCCTTAAATAGAAAAAGCCCTAAAACGACCGACACAGCTAACAAACAAATGGTCATTTATTTGAAAAATAGTTCAAAATAGAAAAGGTGTATAAAATGAGTTAAAATTTTAAACAGGTATGTCGATTGTATGCAGATTACTACGGCCCACGAAATACATTAATTTATTTATTTAACGATGTCTTATGATAGTCGATGCTACTTCCTCTCTACAGACTGAGCCAAGCATGCTCGTTTGCAGGTGCAGCGTGAAAGTATATCACATTTCTCACTTAAACTAGTCTTTACCAAACATTAACAACGTTTAAATTTGTAAATACTAAAAATACAACCATGTACTATCTTATCAACAACAATAAAAATTTACAAAAACTTTGTCAATTAACAATTCCTAATACGTATTATGTACTTACGTACGTATGTAAAAAAATTAGTTGCAACAATGTCCTGCGACGATTTTTTTAATTTGTACAATAAAATGTTGATCACCTCGGTACTAGGCAACTAGAAGTTTAGGCTCAAACTTTAACATTGCCGCCTGTCTAGGGTTGTCATCTATCCGTCTTTAGCGGGACATGTTTGACTTTTTAGATTGTGTGCAGCTAAATGTTAATGTCACATGTCCGGCGGTATAGTTTTCATAGGTTTTTGGTATACCTGTGCCGAAGCTATATCAAATAAACTATGAATACACACAAATTCGAAAAACGTCAAATACCCAAATACCCAAAAAGACGCAGTGTTGCACGGGTATTTGCGAAATTTGAATACAAATCGTTAGTTTGTTTGCATCGTATAGTCTCCGAAATTACTTTATAAAAAAAAAACCTTTTTCAAAATAGGTTGTGCAGTTTTGATGTTACGATCAAGCCTTATTTTATGAATTCACGTTTTGGCTGTGATAAAAGCGTTAAAATTATGATGTAGTTATCTTATCTTTAATTAACGCTTATTTGTGTTACGTCTTACTACAAAATCAATTGAAAGTTAGTGATTTTTGCTTAACTAGGCAGTAACCTCCGCGAAGCCGTGAACTAATATTACTGTCTACTACGGTAATATTGTTTTACGGCTTCGCGTGAGATTTGACTTAGTCCGGCTTTAAGGACAAAATTTCCGATCTAATAAGAGAAGATGGCAACCCTATCCCACTACTTCTCAGATTTAATTGCGGAACTATAGGTACCTTTCTGTGCGCCTTTGACATGCCGCACACTATGCAGCGGCTTATAATAAAGGACTCAAATTGGCGGCTTTCCCTTTTTATCACTTTTTCTTTATTCAGTTGTTCATACGTCGTCGATGTGATCACGTTTCGAAAATGTCCGTGTTCTCTAATTCCGAGTACTATGAAAAGTGCTTTTATCAGTGTTACATGGGATGCAGTGTTGTATTGATATAAATTGAGACTATTTTGAAAAGATGTAATTATACTGAAACGTCAGTGAACCAGAGGTTGGCCGCGATCTTTAGTTTTTTCTTGTGGAATAAAATTAAGTGCCTAATAAAGTGTAGGTGAGTGAACCTCACAAGTAATGCTTAAACAGTGAATAAGGAAGTGAAAAGGTAAAGTACAAATAGTAATTCGCAAATATTTATTTTTAAATACGCCAAAATCGTTTGTGAATTATGTCGCATATCATATTTTTTTTTATTATCGTAATATCTATCAGATTTGTCGGACCATTAAAGTATGAACTAAAAGTTACACTCGTATATCAGTGTTTAAATAAATTTTACCTATCTATCATAAATAGGTACTACTTAAAATGGTGTTTGATCTGTAATTCAGAAACAGCTGAGTCGGAAACGATGCTATGAAATGATGTGCGCGTTGATAATAATATGTATTATAATTTTTTTTACTGAAATTAGACTACCGGCTGAACAGCGTCGGTTACCATACCATTTTGCCAATGATTTGATTCCTATTTAATTTCTTTTCATTTTATTTTCGATCGAAATAGGTTAAGTATTTACTGTGTAAACTGGCAAACGCAGACATGTTTTGAAGTATATTTTCTCTCTCATTCTTAGTGTGTATGTGTGGGTGTGTACTAGGAGAACAGAAAAAAGAATTAGAAAACATAGGAGATAGGTAGTGTGCCATTACTCCTGGTAAGGTCATTAACCTAAAATAGTGATGTCACATAGCACACTCGATGTATTTATTAATTATTAAAAATTAGCCTTTTTACTGAAAGTTAAAAGTTAATGCAAAGGTTTTGAAAATTTGTCAGAGTACTGTTTATATGATATACTTCAACACCCTTCAGCTATAACGGGTATTTTTGTAACACCCGGTATAGGTCAAATTGAGAATCTCTTTTTTGAACTCAGTTAATGACGTACATACATGAATAAACTGATGGTATCCTTTTTTGAAGTCGATTAAAAAGAAGATCATCAATTTTAACTCCTTTTATTAGTCGGTTAATATTTAATTCTTCAAAATTTCAATAGTTTATAACTTCAAAACTACTCAACCGATTTTAATGAAACTTATAATGTACCTTAAGTTGAAAGCTAAGCAATTAAACAAAAATCATTGCAATCCAACTTCTAGTTTGCGAGATATCCGTGGCCAAACATACAGACATACATATATCTATAAAATTTTGCACACTTGTTTAGAAGCCCATATAGACCAACATAATATATGAATAATAAGCCATTTCTCCTTTTTTATAAATGATTTAATTATAAAAGTGGCTAAAAACTATTAAAGTTATGGGATACGTTGCTGATACGCGTCAAGTATTTATTAGATGATTACTCTGCTGTGTCCTTGTATAATTACTGTAGTTTTAACTCAACGTTGTGCCTTAAATCATTCGTTGTACTAACGATTCGTCAATACAAAACGCTCCAAAATCTTAGTTTTTACACAGTCGTTTTTATTTTAAATTATTTAAAATGGAACTATCTATAACGATAGTGCAGTGATAGTATCACGTCAGGCAGTCGGCGGCGGTATAAAGAATGGTAGGCGCCTCTAACGCTGATGGTTTCGTGGGACGGAGGCATTCCCGCGATGCTTTGACAGTAACGCGTCACTCAGTCACTACGGACGATTCATCTCACGGACATTTCAGGAGCGCGCCGAAACTGTTTACACTGATTGTGAGCTCAAACTTTTAAATTAGAATACGATGAGTAACGGTGGCGTCTTATTCTCAACGTTAAAATAGCGGCGGTCCCACACACGCCCGTTCTACCGGATGATATGAACCGGAGTACAATAAATCAAATTAATATTTTATTACGGAAGTTCTTTTTTTAAAAAATGTTTTTCATTCATGAAACGTTTCATAAGTATGTAAGTTGAAATGAACCCACGGTTTCGTCCAAAAGGATTCAATACCTTGAGATGGTATTATCCACTACGTATGCACTTATTTATTGTCTATAGCTATATACGGTATAACCTTTTAAATAAAAGAGCATTAGTGGTCAAATTAAAAAGTTTATATCAAGTAGCTCGGTGGCGTAGTGGATAAGCGCCGCAGCCTGCAAATGTTGTTGCTATGCAACTTTTGCAAGGGTTGATCATGGGATGGGTGACCAAAAAATTATTATCTAGAGAAAGAAAGAAAGAAAAAATCTAGAGCACTGCGTGCTTTAGAAGGCACGTAAAGACGATGGTCCCAACTGCAATTGTAGTCGTTAATACACTCCGATCAAAATTGGGCGTCGAGGGTTATAGCCCATCCTCCTTAACTATCCATAAAGAAGGCCTGAGCCCTTGCAATGGGGACGTAAATGGGCTGATGGTGATTACATCGAGAAGTGTTGTATAACTTACCGCCTTGTCGTGAAGGTTGCGTACACGGCAATCGAGCACCGCGTCCTGTCCCACCGCCGCCACCACCGCCATCTCCGTGGGCAGGAACTCCGGCCCTGCACCCACTCCCGCCCCCGTCACTGACACTACCTCGCCATCCGCACACCACCATCCACGACCTGCGACATTACGACACATAAACGTAATCATATCCTGTCTGTGTTTGTCTTTGTGTTACTTTTTTGCTTGTCAGAAGAAATCGATGTTATTTAGCGAATACCATTCATGTGACTGATCTTTGTCTAGTAGTTAATGAGCATATAACCTCATTGGTCTGCAATCAAAGAAGCGACGCTTCTCCATTGAGTGCATCGAGATGCAACTCAATACACGGGTCGCCCTCCAATATGCAATGATTAAAAATTCCTTGGCAACATCAAGTTGTATTTTAGAAAAGGGAGGATCTATGCGGTGACAGGTAGTAGAGAAAGGCCTGTAGATAATAAAGAAGATAAGAATGTTTAAGAGTTTAAATAAAGGAAGAGGAAATGTGTCTACATCGTGGTAGTTAAGTCCATAGGCGGGTTGTGATTGTAAGCGCAGCAAATGCGGGTAGATCTCGCAAGCCATTATGACTGTACAGACCCGGTTAAAAACAGATATGGACTTATTAATGTCTATGGTACAGACCTTCACAACGACAGAATCACACAAAAAAACGGGCACGGCCCTACCGTTGGTCTTGTGCTTGTTTAAATTAAACTGGATCAAAAGAATTTCACAATGACATAAAACAGATTACTTTTTGTGCATCTATATGTCGAAACTACCATGCCCCCTGCTACCCATGGATCATTGGGAACATCACAAAGATGTTTTATATGTTTGTTTATTTTAAGTTTAATGTTATACAAAACGGATGTTGCGATAGCGACTGATTTATCGATGGTACGTATAAACGTGCGAAATGTGACAAATAACAGACGTAGTGTGTAACACGCCATGCACAGTGTAATATTTTTTTTAATGATCCTTATTAGTGGGGGCGGAGAATTCTGCAAGGAAAGCTCCAGACCTGATCGCAGTTTGGAACCCTGTAAAGGTCATCCCTTTTTTATAACTTAGGAGAAATGCAACTTTAAGCCTCAAATTCGGGCTCTCAGCGAAAAAAGTATGAAGAGCGAACTAATCCATTTTCCAATTCAGTTAAAAACGATCCTTTGTTTTGATTGACTAGATAACCTCTAAGCCACAAAATGCTCACTTTATAACACAAGTCTATTTCTGATGACGCCACTGGTACAGTAAAAACTAACTATTTGAAGTAACCTACATTGTCTAATTTTATTTAACCAAGATGTAGGGCATATGTACTGCTGCTCCACTCGCTGAGTTATTTGTTTGTTGACAGATGACCTGCTTGGCAATACACACCTCAGATGATTGTCACAGTTAACAAGATTACCAAAGATTTCCTTTCTAATTACCCCTTCAGGTTTCTAAGAAAAATCTAAAATACAAATGTTGTCCATTGATAAAGCGCATCAGATAATCGATTTGTATGTATTTTGGGTAAAAAAGTAGAAAATCATTTCTTCTACAGACAACTTGAAAGAAACATGTCAGTAAAAATATTTATTTTTTGTTATGTGTTTTTTGTATACGTCGTGGGCCAATCGTTAAATTAGGCCGATCGAGATTGGCCCGGACATATTACGATATGCCCGTTTCTTGATTTGACCATCTATCATCCGCCTAATCGTTCAATGCTTATCGTTTGATGACTTGCCCGACTATACTCTGGCCAAGCGATTTTGTAGGCTGACCAAAGTACTATGTAAGTAGATATTAGTTTTCTCCCATCTCTGGAAGTTAGTAATAAAATAAAATGAAGTTTAAATAATAAATATTTACGGGTAAATCAGAAAGCTTTTATAACTGTTTTAATATTTTTACTAAAAAAGTGTCCACCGTTTCGAAATTACGAGTTTCTTATATTTAAACACAATCTGAAGTACCTCAGATTTCTTAAAAATATTTTCACAGCTCAGTTTCAGCTCATACCCTTATGTTATAATTGATCTGCCATACTATTAACCGGGCCAATCGTGATTTTCCTGGCCAAATCAAGAAATGGCGGCATATCGTGATGTCCTCGGGCAGATCTCGGTTGGCCCAACTCAACGATTGGCACACGACTTATAAATGAACAGTAGCTAACATAAGAAGTGACGAAATTAATAATTGAATATGTTTTACCGTGTATATTTATAAAAACAACTTCCAATTAAACAAAATATTTTTGAAAGTTGTTTCTTGAAGTTTTAACTTTAAGAAACAACTGTGTTGTATGCTATGCTCGATGATGTTTAATTATCGATAGGTCTTTACTCTTTTCCTACGATTCAGTATAGTAAATAAAAACTCCACACTATACAATTTATTTTTTCGAAGAGAAAATTTATTCTTGTCACACACTTTAATATATATACATAGTACATACAAAGTCTCTTCCTGAAGTCTGTACGCTGAGATCTTTTAAACTACACAACGGATTTTAATGTTTTCATCAATATACAGAGTGTTTCACTATAAAGGTGTATATTAAATATAATACACGACCACGAGGACGAAAACCTAAAGGAAAGCTAGTCAATTATAAATACAAGTATATATAATGCGATGATATTTAGCCTTGAAACTACCTCAAGCTACATGGAGACTAGATAACATTTTTTTAATATGCTCACGGGTCTTCAATGAAAGAAGACCGATAAAACGGAAAACTTTGTTAGGCAAAAGAATTATTTTGTTCATACTGCATTTAACAGTATTCATATTTACATTCTTATCTAATAGACGAAGTGCAAAATTACCGCGCTTCATTTATTTTTTCTTAATATTTATAAAGAAATTATTACGCCAGACCTAATATCATGATTTTTAGGATTTAATTGAGAAGTTATTGAATTGATTTAATAAATAAAAGCCAACATTAAAAATACAGAAACAGGCGGTAGGTACAAATTATAAGCCATATCAGACTAGTTTCTAATGTTTGCCAGTCAATGTATACATAATTTTAAAACAAACATTATTGAGGACTTCAAAAAATAAACTGACCCGCGCGGATGCGTGACCGCGATGTATGCGCGTGAGCAAGGCCACCTGAATGACGTGACGTCACGCTACCCGCGTGCACTCACTTCACAACACTCCAAAATAGACAGTGGAACTTATTTTGGTATACTTTTCAGAAATAACATACACTAATTTATAAACTAAAACAGTTTAAGTAACGTGCCAACTTAAAGTGAAGAGTGCCCGATGCTTAATATATCTTTGAATTTTGTAAAATGCAGAATAACGAATATGACTGAAATAAAATATTTCAGAGCCCAAGTTACATTTCTGACAATTTTGAAAAGGCAACTTGTTTATCAATGAACTAGTTTTGTTTTTCAAAATATATTCTTAATAATCTCATAAATTGTAAACATAAGAATTATTCAAGATTAGAAAGCAAAAATGAGTTAGTATTAACCTATTTAGCATTTTCGTGATGTAACCAATCATTATATATCACAAAAAATATTAGGTATATTTTATTGTTTACAATTAAATTCTCGCATCAATATTATTGTTTTCTCAAAAGTGTATATTATTATAGAAGATGAATCAAGCGGATGCAGGATGCGGGCGCCGGCCATTTCCGCGCAAATCTCGAACGCTGCGTGTGCGCACGTGCGAGCCACTACACGCCTTCTACCCCCGCATCATTGTTAATGTACGGTACGCATATACGCTTGGTGCATTTTGTTTTCAGCACATGCTGCCACTTTTGCAATACCGTGTTACTAAGCTGCACTTACTGCGTTAGTCATAATTCAGTGTGCAGGTGCATATCATGCCATTTCAAATTTGTGTACTAGTCGCAATACTCTGCCGATATTATTCTATTTTGTAACAAATCAACCATAGTACCGGAATGTAATAAAAGCGTTAATTTAATTTTTGCTGAACGTTCTAACATAATAATAATAAAACATTATTTAACTTTTTTGACCTTCATTTAAGTATTGATTTGATTAAAGACACACCCTATTTAGGATACCTAGTCTAGCCATAAGTTCTGTTACAATGAAAAAATCCGATAATTTAAAAAATATATATTTTAAAGTTTTATATGTGATTATGTAGAGTGAAAAATATATGTTAACGTAATAAACTCAAAATGTCCACCCTTAGCTTTTAACGCACGCTTTTAAACGGTCGGGCCATTCATCGATGGATATACGAACGGTTTCCATTGGAAACTTGGTCACTGCTGCCTCCTTGAGCGACTCAATATTTGGGTGACGCTTAGAACTAACAGCCAGTAACAGACTTTATGGCTAGACTAGGTAAAAAGTCAAGCGCCTTATATTAAGCTTTGTTAATAGAGTCTTTGTTATCAGCAAAGAACGTACACTGTTACAAATCGTTTTGTTAATAGACAGGGAAATTCAATAAAACCCATGCTTATCGGACAATATAATGTTTATTAATACTCCAAATTGTTTCAAATGGTAAGCGTCGTGGAGACGGCCAATTAACCCAGCCTTGTCAAAGGAGGGTGACTCGAGTTAACTAGTTTGTTTTGAAATCTTACTAAGGATCGTACAACACAGCCGGAACCAAGAACATCCTTTTGGAGCAGAGCCTTATGCGGCAGAGTGACGAGTATTTTTTTTTTGACAACTCCTGTCAGACTTACTTCTTTTTAAAAAAATTAAACTCCGTTGGTTATGACACCGATGTGTCAAATATTATATGTAACAACACAGAGACTTCATAAAAAAAAGAACCGTTCAGTCTCAACATCGAACTAAATTATAAATCCCTTAAAACCCGCTCTTTGTAAATAGATCGTAGTAAGAGCTATTTTTGCAACTGAATATAATGAAACCAGGTTTACATTGACACCTACATTTATCTTGCGTAGTGTTCACTTCCTAAGTATTTTGACGGCGTGCCAAATAGTAAAGTAACCTCAAAAAATATTGAACGTACCCCATTTGTCAACAGTTACCACACAATTTTTTTAAATTACTTCGGACTTTAATCCTTATTCACATAAATATAACAACAATTATCCTCCTTTGATAACGAATGAGCTGACGACAGCACAACACATTTA